GATGGTAGTTGTCAATTTGGCAACGGCTTGCCCATGGGCATGCAATTCTTTGTGAAGGTGGATCATATTCGGGTCACCTTTTGGAACATTGGCCCGGGATTGCCAAGTTGACGACATTTCTTCTGTGGAATTTGCAGCCGCACAATTCTGGTCTGCGGCTGCGCAGCTTCTTCTACGGCCGCCAGTTCTTGTGCGGTCCACACTTCAGGCAGGGCTCATATCCTGGTCATTTGCACACTCTCTGAACTTTAAATCATTTGTCTGTGTAAAGCTTCTTCTGCGGCCGCACAATTCATGTGCGGTCCGCACATTGGCTAAATTCCTGCTGAGCTCTTTCACTTGATCTACAGCCACAGATGAAATTATGCGGTCCGCACATTCTTCTGCGGCTGCAAAAATCCTTCTGCGGACCGCACTTCTTAAGTTTTGCGCCCCTTCTTGCCTTGTGAGTCGGAACACTCATTTTTTAGTCGGATTTCATCATGGGAGATCAAACTTCCAATTTGCGCACTTTCATTAGTTTCGGGAACATAAATCAATACTTTCGAACTTAAAACAAAAGCAAAAAGGTGCTAATCAGTAGTCAAAATCCACACTTATCAATTCCCCCAAACGTAAGTCTTTGCTTGTCCTCAAGCAAATAAATTAGTTCCCACCTCCTTAGAGTTAAGGGTCATTTTAGCGAGGCAAAGGCGAGCCATTCACACATCAGTTGGGACCAACAATTACCCATACTACTCATGCATTATCAACAAGGTGACAAGTCAAAAATTCGTGCACATATAGTTCTAATGTGACTTTTGAGCTTCAAGAATTGACTTTACTCATCAAGGACTCTTATTCTTTCAAGTAGGTCATGGTGGACTCCAAGCTCTTCCTCCTCTACTTTCCAACTTGCCAAGATCATTTAAGAAATTAGCACTCAATTTTAAGATTCATGAAAGGTTCACACATCTCTCACAAGAGAATGTCACAAGTGTGGCTTCAAGTACTATAGGTTTTCCCCTCATGTAGATCACCACTAATGCAAGCTCACTCGGTTCGAAATCAAGTAGGACTTCTTTCGGATTGTAATGAAGGCTTTTGGATTAGGTAGGATATGATACGGGTAAGTAGTTACATCTTTCCTTAAGCACTCCACATTTTCATTTCTCGACCCACGATTACCAATTCTTAGATGCATTTTATTTTCATTGGGGATTAGAGAGACTCAACATCACTCTTTCTTGTCCATTTCATTCTTTTTCTCCCTTTTTGATTTCTCGTGTCGGGGATCACTATCTCTTTTTGAATCCATCAACCCTTCCACTTATTCACTTTATGTGTGTATTTTTCTTCATTTGTTCTTTTATTTTCTTGCCTTCTCTCTTTGATGTTTTTGTGCCTTGATACTCTTTTCAAAATTTCTCATCTCTCCCCCAAACTTATTCTTTAATCCACTTGTTTCACAAGAGTGTTAAGGAAAGTTCGGGTACCAAGAGAAGGTCACGACAAAAGGTTTTCACGCCATCCATTGTTGGGACGAGTCACCCGGTTCACACAACAACAACCTTTGGAAAGATCTGTGGTGTTAAGAAAACCAAAGGCTTATTATCTGCTAAAGCATAAAAAGAAGCTACTCAATAAAACAAGACTAATATAGAAAAGATAAAGAAGCTAATAAACAATAATTACTAAAGAGAGATAAATATACATAAGAGAAGAGAGAAGAGATAGATAACTACAAATAAGAAAAGAAAGAGTATCATCAAGTTACAGACCAAATGCATCAAAGTGCCAAATAAAACCACCCCCCCCACCCCCGACCCAAACGTAACGACGACTACTACTTCCAACTTACGACTTACGTAAACGTAAAAGTAA